CTCTTTTCTGATCATTTGGAATGAGGATAAAAAGACCAAAAAAAAAAAAAAACATGCAAATAAACATTCATCAATTCGATCTACTATTTCCTGAATATTATGAAATTCAAGATAGCCGCCCCTGGTGACGTCATAATATGCTAATTAGATGAGTATATTTACACCCCACATAAACTTTCAGTCATGCCCAATATTTTTTCTAATTTACAGTAGATCTCTATCTTTAAGTCCTTTCAAGACACAAGCTTTTGAAATCTTGATGTCAAAATCCAGCATTTTTCCAAAAATCCCTGGCGCCTAAAGGGGTGTGTTTTGGACATAACGTGCAATAAACCAATCAGAGTCTCATCTCCCATTCCCTTTAAGAGCCAGTTGCGCTAGTGCCATGGCGGATTTGCTATTTACATTTATGTAGCCTACACAATAATAATCTTTTACATTGTAATCCTTTACATTTTTTATATTTGGCATGCTCGTGTGCTGCTGTGCATCCCTGTGTGTGTAATAAGTAGATTGTACGTGCGCTGTGGACCCACCTATACTAACGCGCTCTTTAAATAACAAAAAAAAAAAAAAACTACTGCGCCATTGACTTTAGACCAGGTTTTAGTTAGGCAGTCTATTTTAGTTGCCTCAAAATAGCAACGCGACAACAATGCTCCTGAACACACCTCGTTTTCAGACCAGCATGCCCATGAGCGCACAAATGGGCACAAATGCATTTACTATTTAAACAACGTGGTGCAGGACGTGAAAATGATTACTGCGTCGGGCTGAAACTAGCAAAGAAAACTTGTGTCTCGCCTGGCGCCGCATTGCGTCGGGTGTATGATAGGGCCCAAAGTCTTTCAGATAAAGTCTGCCTTTTGTTAATGGCTTTTAAAATCAATTTTTAAATGTCCAAAATGTTTCTTTTTTGTTGATTATACAAGCTTTTCTTTTTTAATTATAGGTAACAAAAAGTGCAAGATTAACAGATATATAAGCACACAAAGATCACTGATGAGGAGTAAATGGATCTATGTGGCTATCCTGGGGATAGCATGCATGATGCTTGGAGTCAATGGGAACAATACAACAAGCAGTAGCAACTCTACAGGCAGCTGGATATCTTCTAACATGACCACCAACCTGACCCAGACTCTACCACCCAACATGACCACCAACCTGACCCAGACGCACCCACCCAGCATGACCACCAACCTAAACCAGGTCGGTCCCTTCAACATAACCACAAACTTGACTCAAACAGGACCTCCCAACATAACCCCGAACCTTACCCAGACGGGCCCTCTTAACATGACCACAAACCCGAACCTGATCAGCCATTTTAACATGACCACAAACCCGATTCAGATAGGACCTCTCAACATGACCACAAACCCAACCCAGATGGGTCCTCTCAACATGACCACCAGCCTTACCCAGACAGGCCCTCTTAATATTACTACAAACCCATCCCAGATGGGCCCTCTCAACATGACCGCAAACCCGAACCAAATGAGCCCTTTTAACATGACCACAAACCCAACCCAGATGGGCCCTCTCAACATGACCACAAACCCAAACCAAATGAGCCCTCCCAACATAACCACTAATCTGACCCAAACACACCCTAGCAACATAACCGCTAACCTGCCCGAAACACACCCTCCCAACATAACCACCAACCTGACCCAAACACACGCTCCCAACATAACCGCCAACCTGACCCAAACACACCCTCCCAACATCACCGCTAACCTGCCCCAAACACACCCTCCCAACATAACCACCAACATGACCCAAACACCCCCTCCCAACATAACTGCTAACCTGCCCCAAACGCCCCGTCCCAACATAACCGCTAATCTAACCCAAACACACCCTCCCAACATAACTGCCAACCTGACCCAAACACACCCTCCCAACATAACCTACTACAAACCCATCCCAGATGGGCCCTCTCAACATGACCGCAAACCCGAACCAAATGAGCCCTTTTAACATGACCACAAACCCAACCCAGATGGGCCCTCTCAACATGACCACAAACCCAAACCAAATGAGCCCTTTTAACATGACCACAAACCCAACCCAGATGGGCCCTCTCAACATGACCACCAACCTGACCACAAACCCGACCCAGATGGGCCCTCTCAACATGACCACCAACCTGACCCAAACACGCCCTCCCAACATGACCACCAACCATAGCCAGATGGGCCTTCTCAACATGACCACAGCTCCAAATCAGATGGTCCCTTTTAATATGACCACAAACCCAACCCAGTTGGGCCCTCTTAACATGACCACCAACCTGACCCCCAACCTGACCCAAACACACCCTCCCAACATAACCACCAACATGACCCAAACACCCCCTCCCAACATAACTGCTAACCTGCCCCAAACGCCCCGTCCCAACATAACCGCTAATCTAACCCAAACACACCCTCCCAACATAACTGCCAACCTGACCCAAACACACCCTCCCAACATAACCACTAATCTGACCCAAACACACCCTAGCAACATAACCGCTAACCTGCCCGAAACACACCCTCCCAACATAACCACCAACCTGACCCAAACACACGCTCCCAACATAACCGCCAACCAGACCCAGACAAGCCCTCCCAACATAACTGCCAACCAGACCCAGACAAGCCCTCCCAACATAACTGCTAACCTGACTCAAACACGCACTCCCAACATAACTGTCAACCTGCCCCAAACACACCCTCCCAACATCACAAACTTGACCCAGACACGGCCTCCCAATATTACCACAAACCCGACCCAGACAGGCCCACTCACTGTAACAAACATTAGAACAACATCAGGCTCTAATACTCAGTCAACAGTAAGTCAAACTTTTTTTCCTGTTTAAAAATGCAAGTAGCCATCTTGACAGTTGAAGCGCAAGTTATTTTTTATTGCAGGACATCACTGGCAGGGATAACTGCAGGAGGGATAGGGCATGTTTCTCCGCTCCACCTACCTGTAATCCAGGTGCAGAGGGTTCCTGCTATTTTCTCTCCACAAGAGGAGTAAGCGGAAATGCAGATAATTTGACTTTTGAGCTCAGTGGCGAGACAGATGGTTACATTGGAGCTGGCCTCTCTCGAGACAGCAGTGTAAGAGATCACTCCGGTTACTGAGCAAGCTAATTTGGGCTAATGAAACTACTGCTTTAGTGGATCAATTTACAAGTGTATCAACTAAAGGTTTTGGACTGAATGGCAACATTCACTTCACTGGTTTTGTTCCATCAACATGTCAAATTTTATTCATCACCAGCAACAGTAATTTACTTAGCCTTTTTCAAAGAAAAAAAAATGACAGCAACATAATTTACATAGGCAAAATAATTATAAGCCTAGTCAAATAAACTGCACAACCAAGTTCATTGTGGACAAGAAAAATACTATAAGCAGACATTTGTAGAAATAAGCAAATACGATATGTGTCTTTGTTGTAGGTGATTATTGATTAGTAGATTATTGTAGGTGGAACCTGAAAACACATAATGACGGCCTGTTAGTTTTCATGCCGGTATAAACGCAAACCTAGTGCACTTCCTCACATGTTTTGTGTTTTTCTGAGTAAGCAATTTGCGAACATTTACATTTATATTTACATTTACCTTCACAGTTTTTTTTTTTTTTTTGAGATTTCTAAACAAACACAAAACAATAATTCAATCATCCAGTTAAAGTAATTTAAGTTAATTTTAATATGTGCAATTGATCAGTAGCTTGACATCGTCAAGCAGGATCTGTTAAAATTACCAACATTTAAAATTTGACAATCATAACCGCTAACCTGCCCCAAACACACCCTCCCAACATAACCGCTAACCTGACCCAAACACACGCTCCCAACATAACCGCCAACCAGACCCAGACAAGCCCTCCCAACATAACTGCCAACCAGACCCAGACAAGCCCTCCCAACATAACTGCTAACCTGACTCAAACACGCACTCCCAACATAACTGTCAACCTGCCCCAAACACACCCTCCCAACATCACAAACTTGACCCAGACACGGCCTCCCAATATTACCACAAACCCGACCCAGACAGGCCCACTCACTGTAACAAACATTAGAACAACATCAGGCTCTAATACTCAGTCACCAGTAAGTCAAACTTTTTTTCCTGTTTAAAAATGCAAGTAGCCATCTTGACAGTTAAAGCGCAAGTTATTTTTTATTGCAGGACATCACTGGCAGGGATAACTGCAGGAGGGATAGGGCATGTTTCTCCGCTCCACCTACCTGTAATCCAGGTGCAGAGGGTTCCTGCTATTTTCTCTCCACAAGAGGAGTAAGCGGAAATGCAGATAATTTTACTTTTGAGCTCAGTGGCGAGACAGATGGTTACATTGGAGCTGGCCTCTCTCGAGACAGCAGTGTAAGAATCCAGTTGCTTTTTTGTCAGACATTTATTTTAGAGATTAAGATTAAAGTGCTTAAATATTAAACATTACATTCAATAAAATAAAATAATGGTATCTGGTTGTCTGACTAATCTATTTTTTATCTACTTTTCTCATCCATAGGGTCAAGGTGCCACCGTCTATTCTTGCGCCAAATTCAATGGTGCACTGAGGTTAATTCGTTCCACACTGAACAATCAAATACTGACTCAGGATAATATAGTAAGGCCCTTTTTCAGAGACCATTAATGCATACAATCTGATTAAAATATAATAGCTTTGACTGCCACATCCTCTAGGTAGTGACCTGTAACACCCAGCAATAACACAATCAAATGCCTGTAGTTACTTACTGCTGTAGACGAATTGTGGCCCACTCAAGCTTTAGTTCTGTGATATTTGAAGGCTTTTAAGCATGAGCTGTGCATTTTAAGTCATTTTAATGCCAGAGCATTTCAATAGTGTTTAAGTACTGCACTGCATTGACTAGCCAAAACTTACAGTACATTTTCTTGATTTTCAGCCATTCTGAGCAAAGCTTGCTTGTATGTTTCAGATCATTTTTGTGTCAGCAATCGCAAAGATTTTCCCACAGCACTGTATATGCATTCTCAGAAGCAGTTTATGTGCCATCTTAGCAGTGTAATATTAAGTAATATTACTTCTGTTGTGCTGCAGTTCATCCCTGGAAGCTTCCGTGGCTCAGTGATTGGTAGAAAGATTCAATGCATTTTTAATGCTGCAGGTCTCAGCAGCACCACCCGTTCTGCAACCACAGACACTTTTGTCTTCCTTGTAACAGGCAGCATATCAAATGGTCAGTGCAACACTTTGATCAAGTAACTGACATATATTTTGTTGTGAAACAGAAGTAAACCATTGTCTTCCCTCTACTCATTCTTCCAGGTTCTCTGGATTCTCCAGTCAGTAGACTGACCACAAATGGGTCAGTGGACTTAAGCAACCCTAACAGCACAGACGTTTCACTAATAACACCTAGTACAAATGCCACTGCATCTAATACCACAGCAACATCAACCACCACTGCGGCTTCTACGAACTTGACCCAGACGCATCCTCCCAACATGACCACAAACGTGACCCAAATGGGTCACCTCAACATGACCACCAACCTGACCCAGACACACCCTCCCTACATAACCACCAACCAGACTCATACACGCCCTCCCAATATAACCACCAACCTGACTCAGACACACCCTCCCAACATAACCACCAACCAGACTCAAACACGCCCTCCCAACATAACCATCAACCAGACTCAAACACACCCTCCCAACATAACCACCAACCTGACCCAAACACACCCTCCCAACATCACAAACTTGACCCAGACACGGCCTCCCAATATTACCACAAACCCGACCCAGACAGGCCCACTCACTGTAACAAACATTAGAACAACATCAGGCTCTAATACTCAGTCACCAGTAAGTCAAACTTTTTTTCCTGTTTAAAAATGCAAGTAGCCATCTTGACAGTTAAAGCGCAAGTTATTTTTTATTGCAGGACATCACTGGCAGGGATAACTGCAGGAGGGATAGGGCATGTTTCTCCGCTCCACCTACTTGTAATCCAGGTGCAGAGGGTTCCTGCTATTTTCTCTCCACAAGAGGAGTAAGCGGAAATGCAGATAATTTTACTTTTGAGCTCAGTGGCGAGACAGATGGTTACATTGGAGCTGGCCTCTCTCGAGACAGCAGTGTAAGATATCAAATCCAGTTGCTTTTTTATCAGATATTTATTTTAGAGATTAAGTTTAAATTCCTTAAATATTAAACATTACATTCAATTAAATAAAATAATGGTATCTGGTTGTCTGACTAATCTATTTTTAATCTACTTTTCTCGTCCATAGGGTCAAGGTGCCACCGTCTATTCTTGCGCCAAATTCAATGGTGCACTGAGGTTAATTCGTTCCACACTGAACAATCAAATACTGACTCAGGATAATATAGTAAGGCCCTTTTTCAGAGACCATTAATGCATACAATCTGATTAAAATATAATAGCTTTGACTGCCACATCCTCTAGCTAGTGACCTGTAACACCCAGCAATAACACAATCAAATGCCTGTAGTTATTTACTGCTGTAGACGAATTGTGGCCCACTCAAGCTTTAGTTCTGTGATATTTGAAGGCTTTTAAGCATGAGCTGTGCATTTTAAGTCATTTTAATGCCAGAGCATTTCAATAGTGTTTAAGTACTGCACTGCATTGACTAGCCAAAACTTACAGTACATTTTCTTGATTTTCAGCCATTCTGAGCAAAGCTTGCTTGTATGTTTCAGATCATTTTTGTGTCAGCAATCGCAAAGATTTTCCCACAGCACTGTATATGCATTCTCAGAAGCAGTTTATGTGCCATCTTAGCAGTGTAATATTAAGTAATATTACTTCTGTTGTGCTGCAGTTCATCCCTGGAAGCTTCCGTGGCTCAGTGATTGGTAGAAAGATTCAATGCATTTTTAATGCTGCAGGTCTCAGCAGCACCACCCGTTCTGCAACCACAGACACTTTTGTCTTCCTTGTAACAGGCAGCATATCAAATGGTCAGTGCAACACTTTGATCAAGTAACTGACATATATTTTGTTGTGAAACAGAAGTAAACCATTGTCTTCCCTCTACTCATTCTTCCAGGTTCTCTGGATTCTCCAGTCAGTAGACTGACCACAAATGGGTCAGTGGACTTAAGCAACCCTAACAGCACTGACGTTTCAGTAATAACACCTAGTACAAATGCCACTGCATCTAACACCACAGCAACATCAACCACCACTGCGGCTTCTACGAACTTGACCCAGACGCATCCTCCCAACATGACCACCAACGTGACCCAAATGGGTCACCTCAACATGACCACCAACATGACCCAGACACACCCTCCCAACATAACCACCAACGAGACTCAAACACGCCCTCCCAACATAACCACCAACCTGACTCAGACACACCCTCCCAACATAACCACCAACCAGACTCAAACACGCCCTCCCA